ACTCCTCAGCTCCTCAACAACTCAAAACACCAACTCTGCTTACCAATGCTCGAGCCTTAAAATTAAGGCTCGAGCTTTTCGTAGCTCAAGGCTCAAGCAAAACTAGGCTCGAGCCTTTCTGGGTTTCTAAGAACCTTAACAAACCCCTCCAAATCCACTCCAACTCCTCCATAACTGCACCACAAGGATTCTTATCACCACACAACCTCTAAACCAACCCCAAATCTCAGTAAAATCCACCCATAAACTTCAACAAACCCCAAATTCGTGTTCATCAAACCCTTGATTTTGGTTTGGAATCTCTGCAAATTATAGGGTAGATTTATGTTAGATATATATTATAGATGATTAATGAGATGTTTTTAGAGAATTTTGACATGGTTTGAGTATAAACTGAGTTTTATATACACATATTATATACATATATATATATATATATATATATATGTGTGTGTGCATATAATCAGAAGAGAGAGAATGATTTGGATCTTACCTTGGCCCAATTGAAGTGCAAGAAGATGAGAAAGATGATGGTTGAAGAGATTTAAGAGATTAAAAGAGAAGAGAACTCGGAAAAAACAAGGGCATGACGGAATGAAATGAGGCACGAGGGTTTCATATCGAATTTAAAACACAGGGCTCGAGCCTTAATGTCTGGAACCCTAAAGTTAGCGATGTCGAAAGGCTTGAGCACATGGCATTGTGCTCAAGCTCTGGAGAAGCTTGGGCTCGAGCCTTTGAGACAAATTTTTATTTGTTTTCAATTTTTATTTTTCTAAATTAAACCTAAGTCTAAATTAAACTAAACTAACCTAAAAAAAAATAATAAAAAAAAAGACCTAACTAATTTAAAAACCTAAAAAAATAAAATAAAAAGAAAAATAAAATAACACCAAACTAAAGTACAGTATACATCTGCTAAGTTTAACATCGACAGCTCGACAGCAGTGCTAAGTTTAATGTCGCTAGCTCAACGATAATCCACTCCTTACCCTGTATCCAACAGATCAACTAACCATTTCAACCCCAACTGAGCCCCGTAAGATCCTATAGAATATGAAGTCTTGGAAACTGATACAGTTCCCTTCAGATCCTGATAGAAAGCTAAAAAAACATGTTCGTCTCCTTCAAGTAGCCTTTTTATTCTCAAACTTAAAAAATATAAGTCTGTAACACATGTTGGAGCTTTAAAATGCTAACTATAGAATATTGAGATATTAAGCTTAAGAATAAAGGTTTGAGCTTAAAATAAGGGAAAAGAAATCAACTCTTCTTTTATATTTTCAGCATAAAGACTAGAACACCTACTGAATAGTGAGGAAAGGACTCATTTTTAAGAATTAAACAGATCGATGAACTCATAGATATTCAAAGAAAGTGTTGTACCAAATGACCATTTCAATATTTGAGTTTATAAATTTCTGAAAGGTAGTCTGTAATTTTGAAAAATATGTCTAGGCCTCTACTAAATTGCAGGGAAGGAGGAACATATGTAATTAAATTTAAATGATTGTAAGTACTCGATTTCCCCTCCTTTTTAATCTAATTTACCTGTTAAGGAAAAGATTTAAAATTACCATGACCACATAAAGCTCTAATTAGTGGTTTCAGGTAATTGTATAAAGTACACTAGCAATTAAATTTAAATGATCGTAAGTACTCGATTTCCCACTCCTCTTTTATCTAATTTACCTATTACGGGAAAGATTAGAAATTACCATGACCATATAAAGCTCTTAGCCAGATTTGAAGAAAAATGTTGCACTGATGTCACGCCCTAGCTGAGCCCTAACGGAACACAGTTGAGCTTCAATAGCTGCTTTAGATTCAGATTTGAGTTCCAATAGCTGCTTATGATTCCTAATCAATGACATATTTTTATTTATTTAGCACTAACAACACATATATGTCCAATATATTTCAATGGGAGATGGAAAAAGAGGTTTGTACATGCTGCTAAATCAGCTCTAATACACAAACTTGTATATAATATACATGTTTATATGCTCATGTAAACAAGAATTAGGATTCACGAATTAAAAGTACTATTATCCTACTATCCTATTATTAGATGAAGGACCTCTCCCTCTTAATTAACGAATTAAAATCCTCTCTAATACAAAGGCAAGGAAGCACAAATTCGCTATGTAGCAAGTTTTGTTTCTTTGGCACACAGTAGGCTCCAACTACACAACATGGTGTCCCCTTCGAAAGCAGATTTGAAAATGCCCAGTTCAATAGGCTTGAAACTGCTCGGCCTACCTTCACTTCTTGAGGAAATCAATTTACTCAGATTCCTACTTCTTTCAGCCAAATCTACAAAGAACCGTCAAGAGTTCACGTAACAAACCTTGATTGGTATAATAAAATAACCACCAGATTTCAGGCCTACAATAAATATGAGATACAGCGGTGTACATATTTTCTGAGTGCCGCCAAAAGTTACAAGAACTGCCACCATAGCCTATACCGACAGATATATGCTATCATTGGGTAAAGTACAGTCACACCCCCTGAGATTTGACAAAAGGATACTCACATGAAATTTACCTGTTTTTTGGTCAAAGACACCCCCTGAAGATACAAAAATGGACAAAGACATCCCTTTATATGAAAAATTGACCAAATTACCCTTTGATCATTTAGGAGACTTTTTTTAACTTCATAATTTAATAAATTGGACTAATCTACCCTTATGAACAATTTATGCATATAAAAAAAAGTAACCAAAAAAAAAAAAATTTGTTATTTACTTTATAAATGTCCCAACTTCTTAAAAATGTAGACGATTTTTTGATCTAATACATATATTTCAAATAAATTATATTTTGTTATTACTTTTTTTCTTTTTCTTTTTTATTTTAAATTAAGATACTTAATTCTTTCATCTAAAAAAATTAAACCAATCTTTTTTCCTTAAAAATAAGAAATATGGTACCAATATAACTTTATGCATCTTAAATTATATATCAAATATTATAATTTCCCAACATAAAAGGGGAAAAAAAAAATGATAAAACAAAGAGAAAAAAAATAATAATAAAACAAAGGGGAAAAAAAAAAAAAAAACCAAAAAACAAAGGCATGCATAAAGTTAAAATGCATAAAGTTATACTAGTACCTATTTTCTTTTATGTTGAGAAATGCATAATATTTGATATATAATTTAAGATGCATAAAGTTATACTGGTACCATATTTTTTATTTTTAAGGAAAAGAGATTGGTTTAATTTTTTTAGATGAAAGAATTAAGCATTTTAATTTAAAAATAAAAAAGAAAAGAAGTAATAGCGAAATATACTTTATTTGAAATATATGTATTGAATCAAAAAATTATTTTAAGCGTCTACATTTTTAAGAAGTTGAGACATTTATAAAGTAAAATAAATAAATAAATAAATAATAAAAAAAGTGAACAATATAAAGTTTTTTTTTTTTTACTTTTTTTTAATGCATAAATAATTCATGATGGTAGATTGGTCCAATTTATTAAATTGTAAAGTTAAAAAAAGTCTCTTAAATGGTCAAAGGGTAATTTGGTCAATTTTTCATGTAAAGGGTTATCTTTGTCCAAAAAATATATAAGTTTTGTCAAACCTCAATGGGTGTGACTATACTTTATCTTAGTTTTTTTTATTATAAAATGGCCACCTTGTGGCGGGACATGACTGCTAATTCTGGGGTTTTTCCAGTAGATATAACCACTGCCATATACTTTGAAAATTCCAAGCAATTATGACAAATTAAGCTGCTACAAAATGTCTATAAAATGGGGGGATAAAATGCTGAATCATCAATACCAATATAAAAATATAATTTACCAAGATCAAAAATATATATATATATATATATATAACAGTAGCTGGTTGACATGGCATAAACTAGAAAGATAATTACTGAAACGAATTTATAAACTTCTTAGTTTGATGTCTTCTCAAATGATCAAAACAATTAAAAACATTGAAGCCCTACTAACAGGGTAACATAATGTCTATTCCATTAAATTTCAAAAATTATATAAACTCAGTTCCCAACATGTTCAAAGAAAATTTGAATTAGGGTGCAATTATCCCAAAATATGTAATATAAAGTATTTTAACTGCCTGGCATCCTTAACATAATCATTAAACCATAAGGAAATAGAAAAAGATAATGAAAGTCTAGATAACCATTCTGCACGTGTTATCCTATTCTTCAAGCAACCTGAAAATAGAATATTAAAAAAAAAAGAAAAAAAGAATAATAATTTAAGCTAACAATAGTTCTATCATTCAATTTATTAAGTGCATAATTTTCTTTTCTAATTTTTTTTTCCCCGAAGTAAAAGCAAAAACATATACTCATTATCCGCGCAATATGTCTCTAGTGGGACTCAAACTCTACCACCAAAAAAAAAAACACCTCAAAAAAAAAAAAAAAAAAAAAAAAAAGGTGACATGCAAAGAACACATGAAGCATTAGTAATCCAAGTGTCTAGATCAATAGCAAATAGAAAAGGGTTTAACTCTAAACTACTAAAAAGTCACAAGCTCAATAGTGTTCTTTGTTCTAGTTATAGATTACTGTGGAAGCTAAAATATTAGCAAAAAAATTCATCTAAATTTTACAATACTTTCATATTTTCATCAGGCATTGCTAGTGATAGCAACAAACATTGAGTCTTAACTTGGTTTAAGAGACTGAACATCATAAGTTAAATAAATGATATTAGGCTTACTTCAATGTAATAAAATAAGTTTACAAAATGATATCTGATTTGAAGCACCCTTTAGTATTTGTAAACTAAGTGCATTTGGTTATACAGAAGAAAGCTCTTTCATTTGCCAAACAAAAAACGAGACCCAGTAATGTATGCCACTCAATAAAAAAAATCAAGACACGGTTTGTCTCCTTCAGGTAGCCTTCTTATTCTTGACCCTAAAATTGAAGTATATAGGGAGGACAAAGAACATAGCCTACCCAGTCCCTGTGAAATTCTACCAAATTAACCCATGTTGGCCATGGCCTCACCTTGGACAATGTTCGCATTGGTTGCACCAGCTGCTTATATTCTGCAAGCAATCTGGTTTACAATTAGGAAAAACAAGAATGGGAGGAGGCTACCTCTAGGGCCAAAAGGCCTCCCAATTTTGGGACACCTTCGTATGATAGCGAAGTTCCCTCACCGAGATCTTCATCTGCTAGCCAAAAAATATGGTCCCATCATGTACACGCGCTTTGGCTTGGTCCCCAACAGTTCATTAAGACCCGTGACCATGTTTTTACTAGTAGGCCAATTGTTCAGGCTCTTAAATTGTCTTAAATACGTGACTTAAGGGCAAACGGACTTGATTTTTGCTGAATACGGGCCATGTTGGCGCAGTGTGCCCAAATTGTGCACCTTAGAGTTGTTTAGCAGCATCAAGATAAGTTCATTCGAGTCTATGAGGAGGGAAGAGTTCAGATTTTTGATCAAATCAATCAAAGAGGCAGCTCAGGATCGTGGTGGTGTTGATCTTAGTGCCAAGGTTTCATCCATGAATGCAGAAATGACTTGTCAGATGATGTTTGGGAAGAAGTACACGGATAGGGACTTGGATGACAGAGGGTTCAAAGCTATGATGGAAGAGGGCATGCACTTGGGAATCGCTCCCAACCAAGGGCGGAGGGAGGGGTGGGCGAAGGTGGGCTTCAGCCCACCCCAAAAAAAAATTTTTTTTTTTTTTACTATACTACTTTCAGCCCAGCCCCAAAAAAAAAAATTTAGCCCAATCCTAAATTAGCCCACCCCAATCAACAATCCTGGATCTAACCTTGCTCCCAACATTGCCGATTACTTCCCCTATGTCGGAGCACTTGATCTTCAGGGACTGTATAGGCGATTTAAGGCTCTTTAGCAAGGTCTTTGATGAATTTTTTGAGAAGTTCATTGATGAGCATGTTCAAGCTAGGGACCAAGGCCAAACCAAGGACTTCGTTGATATCATGTTGACACACAAGGGATCTGAAGAAGCAGACTATCTTAAGGGTCGGTCTGGTGTTAAAGCCCCTATGTTGGTAATTTGATTGAACTTTTATACCAATTTTAGGATGATATCTATACATAATCTAGCTACAATTCCAATTGATTCTATTTTAACCAAATTACGTTTGAAAATTTTTTTTTATATTTTATCGTCCTCTCTACTAGTTTGCAACTTTTCCTTACCATGGGTGTCTATGGTAGCAATTGCATTTCGTTGTTAAGTATACTGCTAATGATTTTTGCCATTGGTAGTAAAAGGCTAAAACTCATGCCAACATACAATTGCAGAATCCAATAAATGGAGACTTGCTTATAGTTCAAGAGAGAGAACATAAATTATTCACCCAAATAAACAATAATTGTTGCATTTTCTCAGTGCCTGCATCAAGTTTACACCAAAATAAGAATCACTTAACCAATTTCTAGAAGATAAGTAAAAGTATGAATAAAAAATAAGATTTATCACTAACAATCAGGTAAGAACACCTACTTTGTGAAACACAACTGATCAGATTATTTTGTTATAAGCTGAGTTCACATCAGTGTGTTTATGAGCAGCATAATTGTGCAGAATTGCCTGCAATAATAATCACATATAGAGGCATTTGACCCCTGCCGACAAACTTACCTTGGCTACTCAACAAGTATGTGCAACAACACAGGATTTAGAAACCATGCCAAACCAATGGTTATGTTATAATCTGCATTACATGTCAGCAGATCATGTCAATTGTAGAGTACTAAGGGCTAGTTTGGTAGGGGTGAATGGAATAAAAGAAAGTGGAATGTAATGATTTTTTTTCCATTCTTTGTTTGGCGCATGCATTTAAAGGTAAAATTGTCATTCCTCACCATTCTCCGAGAATGGTCATTCCACCAAAATCATTCCTTCTCTTGACCAATGGAATGGACATTCCATTCCCGCGTGAAATAAGACTAAAAAAAATTATGACCAAAAGACGCGATCATTGTTGTGCTTCACCGAATCTGGGTTGGGGCAATGGGTACTGCAAAGGCGAGCCGAAGCGAGAGTACCGCCATCGATTATCACACCTCTCATAGCCTCCATCTTCTTTATCTTTCCATTTGATTTCAATTGTGTATCATTTGCTTTTTGCAGCAAAATTGGGACATATATTCAAATTAGGGGAAACCATGTGCCACCGATTATGAGGTTTTGATTGTGAGGTTATGGTTGTTTGAAGAATCCAATTGTGGAACATACAAGAACACAACACAAACCAACCCTCTACGACAAGCTCCTCTAAGAAATCTTCCACCGCCTCCCTCCGCCGTCTTCCTTCGATGCCTGTCTCGTTTCCAAGCACTGGCTTCGCCTTTACCGCCTCCTTCCGCCGCAGGAGACAGATTCGACTTCCTAATCTTCCTCCATCTTCCTCTCTCGCTACCCATATCTCTCTTCCCTCTCTCACCACTGCCGCTGGAGACAAATTCGCCTTCTCTCCATCGCCTCTTCTTGCCCTAATCTTCAACCCTCGCTTCCTCACTTGCCCTGTGATGTAGGAGCATTACGAGGCTCTCCAAGACTAATCGAGCCCCCTAGCCGACTAGCCTTGGGTTCTATTTATCTTGGGGTTTTAATTATTTGCTTATTTTCTATGTGTGTTATTTGATTTTTATGTTTTGTGTTATTTGGTGGATGATAGTTATAGTAATAGTCTTTTTTAAATAGTCATGTGACTGTCATGTGAGTTTTCAAGTACTTTGGAGGGTTAAGATTTAATAGTTATTGAAGTAATCAAATGGTAGGATGTTAGAGCTGCTGTAACCCTAGTACAAATAGTCTATTAAGAGACTTTGTATGGAGTTTAGATTCCAAAAAATCAGATTTAGAATTTCTCTCGGGTCTCTTTGCCCCTATAACTCACCTATCTAGGTTCCACTTCGATTCTATTACTCTATCTCTTTGTTTTTCTGCTTGTTTATTGCTGGAAATCCTTTTCTTTCATTGTTTTACACTGTTACAGCTGCCGAACAGCAGTTAATCGCTTCTGCCCTGCATCATGTTTGTGTCTTAGAGATGACGTACATTTCTTGAGACTTTGTTTACATGTGAACTGACCATTTTGCCCTTGGGAGCATACTTGGTCTATTTTTACCTTTTCGCTTCCACAATTGTTTTCATTTGTTTCCGTGACTTCCTGAAAAATCACCATGGTGTCTTTGGGATACCGATCATCCCCATAGACTTTGTTTTTATTTTTGCTTCCGCATTCCAAATCCGTTATCTGGTCAACTTTCAGGTCGCATTGACATATCCGGGTTTGTAAAAATTCGAAACGTCATAAGACTAAACATTTTTTATCTCAAAGTTTTGAAATAAAAGATCTTGGTGAAGCCTTATTTGTCATTGGCATTAAGATTCATCGAGATAGACCTCGTAAGATTCTTGGATTATTACAAAGAGCCCATATAGAAAAGGTTCTTAAAAGATTTGATATGCAACACTATAAAGGTGGAATTGCCCGGGTGATAAATTTAGTAAATTTCAGTGTCCGAAAAATGACCTAGAGTGGGAGCAAATGAAAAACATTCCCGATGCATCTGTAGTTGGGAGTTTGATGTATGCTCAGGTTTGCACACAGCCAAACATAACATTTGTTGTTGGTATGCCAGACAGATATCAAAGTGATCCTGGTATGGATCATTGAAGAGCGGCAAAGAAAGTAATGAGGTACCTGCAAAAGAAAAAGAACCATTTGCTCATATATAGAAGGACCAACAGGCTTGAAGTGGTGCGTCATACAAACTCTAACTTTGTTGGTTGTCAGGATAGTATGAAATCCACTTCAGGATTTATTTTCATGATGGTTGGAGGAGCAATTTCATGGAAAAGTATTTAACAAACACTAATAGCTTCATCCACCATGGAGGCAAAGTTTGTTGCATGTTATGAGGCCACTTGTCATGCATTATGGTTACGGAACTTCATCTTAAGACTTATGGTGGTAAATTCTATTTCTAAACCATTGATGATTTTCTATGACAATTCCGTTACAGTTATGTACTCAAAGAACAACAAGAGTTCAGGGAAATCTAAACATATAGATATTAAATACCTTGATGTAAAAGAGATGATTCAAAACTAGCTTATGTTTATTAAGCACATTAGTACACAACATGATTGCTAATCCCATGACTAAGGGGTTGCCGCCTAAGTTATACAATGAGCATGTTGCTCATATAGGTATTATTGATAACTTTGATTTACTTAGTTAGTGAGAGGTTGTTTTTTGACTCAGTTGTAGACACATTTGTATTTGTAATCACAGTTTCGTATATTATATTATCCTCATTTATTTAGTTTTCCATATTGGTGTACGTGTGCACGAAAAATTATAAGTGTCATTTATGAGACATGGTATGTTCTTATTGAGGCATGGGCATAATACTTTATTGTTTAGCACTTGAGATATTTATGTATAATCTTAAAGGTGAGTGTATTAATATTTGTGACCATTGATATCCTATATTATTAAATAATATAATGACATCCTTGATCCAATATTGCTATACTTGTAAGGACTTCATGAAAGTTGTTTGGTACAATAATTCTCTAAATATAGATAATTTATTTAAAGTGTGCACACCAACACTGTTTCAATATATATATATATATATATATATATATATATATATATATATATATATATATATTAAAATAATATATATATATATATATATTAAAAAATAATAATAATAATAATAAATAAATAAATAAAAGATTAATTATGATTATAAGACCAAGTAGGAGAATGTAAGGAAAATGGTCTTATTATAATTAATTTTAACTTTTATTTAAATAATTTTTTAATTATCCATATTTAAGAGATGTGACGTTTTATCATATAAGTACAGTTTTATTTATGGCTATTATTTATTTACAGAGGGGTGTGTTGGTTGATGGAACCAATATGTCTCACTTTAGTAAGGTTTAGGAAACGGTCCAGCCCTTTATATATATGTGAAAGAAAGGTCTGAATCCATCGTTCAGTTTCACAGGCAAAGATAGAAGGTTTAAGAATGTTTCTGCTATAATTGATCTTAAACTCAAACTGCTAAAGATGGAAGATGTATTTTCTAACAACGTTTATGTATTGAAACCATATATTTTATTATTGTTGAATAGCTTATGTCTTAAACTTCGCAATTGGCCATGCAAACCAATAATATTAAGTAAAACTGATCTATATATATAAAGATATAATCTTTTCCTAATAGAACAAAGAGTCGAGAGTTTTATTTCAATAAAGTACAACAACTTAGATTTTTAGGGATAGAGGGGAGATATAAAAGTCAGGGTAAATTGCACTTAAAACCCCCCTCACCAATGCTGAAATTGCAGACACTGCACCGTTTCATAGCACTGAGCACGTACCTTCAAAGTTGAATTTACCATATAATCTACTTTAAATGTGATGGTCAGATCTAATCACTATCTAATCACTAACTTATCGATTTGACTATAAGTTATATATACTTACCTATGTGACAATAAGTTATGTGTAATCTCTCTTTCAATTGAGTAGTCTTTTTCTTAACAAATATATATAGTACTAGTGTGTATGTGTATGTGTATTAATCTTAAGGTGGTTCTTACCTTTTAATTGAGTTGGATTTTATATATATATATTGTGAATTTGTGCTCCAAGGCTCCCTAATGGTAAATAACTTTATAACGTGGCTAAATTATGAGAAAAAAACATTTACTTTGCTCCCACAAGAAAATAAATTTCATTTTCAATAGAATTTTGTAGAAACTATTAAGATTGTATAGGAATTGCAAAATCAAAAATTGAATTTTGAAGAAATAAATTTGATTTTTAAATTTTTTTTTAATTTATAAAAATTAAGATTTCTTGAGTTGTACACATTAAGAACAATCAACTCTCTCTTTTTTAAAAAATAAATAAAAAATAAATAAAAAAAATCTCCTCTCTTTCTTTATGTGTTTCTGGTCCTATTTAATTTATATTGTTTTGATCACTTTGTTACACTTTTAATATGTTTTTTAAAACACATCCAGCTTCAAACTCAAAAATATATTATCAGCAAAGTTATTAAACTTAAATCACTTGAATATATAATATGGGAGTAATGATCTCTTGCTCCCCATGGAGTAAGAAAATTTATCCGCACTTTCTATTGAGACCATTAGATCTAATCTAACGTTCACTATAAAAACCCACCTATATTCTTTCCTTTTAATACAAAACCAGTATCACTATTTCTATTTTCCAAATTTAACATTTACCAAACCACTAATTACAATAATAAAAGGTAATTATTCAAAAATATATATATAGAAAACTCTTCACCTCTGAAAATAACGTCTCTTTCAAACAAAGACCTACAAGAGTACTTTTTCTTTCTCCATACAAATTGAATTTAGTACTTTCTCTTTCTCCATACAAATTGAATTTGCAAGTTCTCTACCGCCTTTGTCTCCTTATAATCATAAGTAAATAAAAATGAATCATAATTAAAATTTAATGGATTAAAATATCTTTTTTTATTATTATTTTTTCTTGTCTCTTGTAATTTTTTGTTTGAGAGAGACGTGATTTCCATAGAAGAAGAGGTTTCAATTTTTTTTTGGGAGTAATTGCCTTTTATTATTGTAATTAGTGGTATGTAAATATTAAATTTAGAAATTATAAATAGTAACAAGGGTTTATATTAAAAGGAAATGATGTAAGGAGGTTTCTATAATAATCGTTAGATTAGATCAAATGATCACTATAAAAAGTGCGGATGAATTTTCTTGCTCCATAGGGAGCAAGAGATCATTACTCTATAATATGGAAGCCAAACTAAATATAAATTTATTATAATATATTTTTATTGAAAAATATAATTCTTCATGATACAATAATTTATTTTAGAAAGATTATTGCTGGGATATGTTGGCAAAATAAGAATTAATTCATTGTTAATATCATAAAGTTTTCCAACGATTAACTGTGGGAGCGGGAAGATTAATAGATTTAGCATATAAACAAATCTAATTTGAATTTAAACATTATTTGTTTGAATTTTAGATGGGATGGACGGAGTGTGTTGGATACTGGATAGAATAGTTGAGAGAAAAGTAGATTGATAGGATTTTAGAATGCTCCAAATAATATCTAAAATATCTTTATACAATGGTAGATTATTCAAGAGATTTTTAGACTATACTTATACACAACTCTAGATAACCTCACACAAGGGTCGATAAGGTTAGAATATTGCCTTCATATTTCAAAATTTCAAAAGAGTTGTTTCATTTTTTGACATTAATTCACATAATTTACTTACAAAAAAAAAAAAAGACATTTATTTTCACATAATTTCTCATCTAGATTACATCATGGACATTGTTATGTGTGATACTATTCTAGAAAATTTTGAGATATAATTTCATTGTCTGTAAGTTGTAATTTTAGATTAAATAGTTTTAGAATTGACAGGAGAAAATGTGTT